CTGAACCGGTTTTAAAAATGAGGGTTAGAGTGTCTTACTGATTATCAGGAAATGGATTGTTTCCCATACTATAAAGTGAGGGTTTATTCTTGTATTCAATGTGATGCAGACTCAATGAACATCTACCATATTAGTGTCACTTAGAACCATTCTTGGAACTAAATTTTGTTTTATAAATTATTTGTAGACATACTACAACTGTTCCTGTATTGGGAAACCGAAAAGAGAAAATGGTTCAGAAGACTTTCTGTACGAAGCTGTCCCTGGGAAATGTCCAACACAATGCAAATTTTTACCTTTATTCCTGACCTTCTTCTTTCTTGCAGTTGTTTTTACATTTATGGCTGTTACTCCAACAACTGTGGCCATTCTCAGGTACATTTTTTTGGGCTGAAAAATAGCTAGCATTCTTGTGAAAAGTCAGATCAGTGAAATACTCTAGGTTTTTTGCTTTGGAATGTGGACTTAAACCAATGTGCAAGGGATTTCCTGTTGTACTTTGTGTAGTAAGCAGGCAGTACTTGAAGTACAGGAAGGTCATACCACTGTTCACTATCTCTGTAATTATACTTGGTTAGTGGATACTGTTTGAGTCTATTAAAAAAAAATCTTTCCTACTTGTAAAAATCTTTTCCTACTTTTTATGGGAGCACTCCTGACTGTTTTAGTCAAAGTAAGGAATAAATGTGCCACATGCTTCGATGAGGAAAATGTTCAGCTAGCTTCTGTATTGGTAGTGCCAGGATTTCAGATTTTACCAAGAAAAGAACAAAATAGCAATCAGTCTATTGATTCCTGTCTCAGTTCAAAGTTCTGACTTGCAAAATTGTAGTCTGTCTTTCATATGATATTGATGTATGTATGGTTGTCATTAATGTAAAATGTGACAGCATGTATGTGGCTGTTAACCAGTGGTTTGACTTTCTTTCAAATTGCTGAAACTCATGTACATGAAAGCTAGATAATATTTTTAAAAATGTGATCCTCATTCTGAAAGGAGAGCTGTTTCACTTTATGTGGAAATCTGACTTGTACCTCTAATACTTCTGGAGAGAAAATGCTCATGATGCATAGCCATACATGCACTATACATGTGATGTTTTGGGGAGGTGTAGTTAGATGCTTTTTTCCCAACTTTCTAGTTCAGGGAGGGGAATGATACACTGCAATAGTGCTTTGTAGTAGCCTCCTGTTCAGGGTTGTTGTAAACCTGGAATTAACAAGCTTGTCATATTAGTGTGGGGGCAGAATGATGTCAAGTGTTGCATTATCTTCAAAACTGAGCTTACACAGTTTTATTTAGATAATTCTAAGCAAAAAAAGTTTGGAATTTTGAATCCTTGTACACTTCAACCGAAACAGTGAAATATTTTTTTATGGGAAAGAGGACTGTAGAGCAGTTTAAATGTGCAGAAACTAATTTAAATAGCTAAATGTGTGGTAAATTACTACAGTATATTCTGATATCTTTTCAGCGGGCCTATCTTGTGCAACTTCAAGTGTAAACCCATGTGTTTGTCACAGTGTACTAGTGCTATGAATAACCGCCCACACTATGCATTCTTCTTCCTTTACTTGCCTTTATGGGTAGGATGATCCTAACAGTGACTGCTGATAACTGCTCATCATGAATGTTTTTCTATGGCTAATCTTCATAGATACTCCAGAATGAGAGAATAACTCCTGAATATTTAAATACTGTCTTTTTTAGCACTGACAGTACTTCAGTGATACAGCAGTTATTAAAGAAAAGAGTGCTGAAACTAAATTGTATACGTTTAAGTAAGTCAGGTTGTATTTAATCTTTATGGTAGTGTCTTTAAGACACTGTCAGGATAACATGTTTGTTGCTGGAGAAATATCTGAAAGAAATGGGTAGGAGGAAAGGAGGTAAAGTCTACTAGTTATAGAAATAGATATATTGATTTAATAACATAGGCCAGAGCTGATTAATTGTAAGGCCAGGTCACTGTATGTAAATGTTATGGGAAATACATCTTGTGCTGTGCTGAAGCCTAGTCTCAATTCATGTATTGATTCTTTAGGAATAGTAGCTCAGGATTGCATTCTAACACTGTTCTAAAATCTTTGGTTGTTCTGTGGAAAAAAAATGTTCGACAGTATATCAGGGTGCTGCTGATAAGCTAGCTTTTTGTTCTGTTTTGTTAAACTAATTCTATCTAAAATTCATTGATGAGCTATAGGAGTTGCTTCTCTCTTTTGTCAAAACACCTCTTGAAGTTGTTTGAAATGTTACTTGTTCTGCACATTGGATTTCTAAAACCCTCTGCAATTAACAAGTTAAGAGTATTTTAAAGACAAAGCATATTCACTGAGGGACAGTGAAATGGAACAGTTAAAACTTGTTTACCAAGTCTTATACTGTAAATCTTCTTTACAGGTGTGTGCCAGATAAGCAGCGCTCATTTGCTCTTGGAGTACAGTCAGTGTTCCTACGACTACTTGGTATGAATTGCTTGTTGAAACACTTGCCTCTGAATAATCTACTTATTTGATGTTTTTCTAGACTTAAAAATAATGTATTAAGAAGCTCTCAGAGAGGCTTGAAGCAGCCTGTAATTGGTTTACAGAATACTTGTTATAAAGTGGATGGTATCTGGATTCAAATGCCTCTTTAAATAGCACATGCATGCTTATTGTAGCTTTTCTTGTTCTTATAGGCATGAATAAAACATAGGTAACATAGCAAAAGCCACCTCCTGTTACATTCCCCCAGAAAGAGGCCTATTCTAAAAGCTGAGAAAAGAAAAAGTAATAGAAAATCTTCATGTAGTTAGCCTGTCAGGTTCCACCACACAAATCTAATAAATTCTACATAGGAATAATTTCAAACACTACTAATTTTATGTGAAATTTTTCCTAGAAGCTTGGCTACATCTGAGAGATGGAAAAAATGTATACTTGAACATATTAACCTAAAAATATTTTAGTTCTCTGCATTTGGATCAGATTAGTGCACATGATCTGAGGAAAGGGACTTGTTTTCCTTCAAGTAAAAATCCTGCTTCCTTGATCAGCTGTTTTTCCACCTAATTTTAATCACATTTTTCTTTTCCAATGAAAAATGAGGAAGTTACGAGAAGCTCAAGTCTTTGAACAAGCTTCTTGCTTGATGAAGTGAGAGCTGCATAAAGCATTAACTGACACTCGGTGCATCCCACCTATTAATTGAGATCAATGGAAGAGGCACACTTGCTATGTAATATGAGCCCTATGACTTTGATTAAAATGTTATGTTTAGTGTGTGATTCTCCCATTTTATCTTCCCCACCAGTCTGGCATTTCACTGTATGCATTAAGACCAGGTAAGACTATTCCAAGTAACTCAAATGTTCTAACATGTTACTGTGGTCTTTAGGTACTATTCCTGGACCAATTTTGTTTGGTGTTGCTATAGACAACAGTTGTACTCTGTGGGATATTAATGAATGTAAAACTAAAGGAGCCTGTTGGGTTTATGACAATGAAAGAATGGCTTATCTGCTGATGGGCATAAGTAAGTGACTTCTTCATATTATGTACATGTACAAGGTAATAGGTATAATGACCTTGACTGCTAGATGGGAATAATTTTAAAGTAGAACCTTAAACTTTTATTTTTTTAGCAGCAGTGTTTTTTTAAAAAAAACTTTATTTTGTTCATAAATAATAAAAAGCAAAATATTATGGAAGGAGCAAGACTACATTAAGTGGCTCTTAAAAATTACTTAGAGAACTTTTTTAATAACAATAATACAAACTAGTTTTGATCCTTGGTCTTTTTTCATTGTCACACTTTACTGAATTTTAAGGGATTGGCACACATTTCAGTCTTATCTGGCTTGGTCTGTTGGCAGCTTAAGGTCTGAGGAGCTTTCTTCCTCTTGTCATCTTTCAGTTCTTTTCCCTAAATTAATATCAAGATCTTGAAAATATCTCTGAACACTAGTGAAAAGTTTTCCCAACTTGTTTAACGATCTGTTCCCTTCAAGTGTGTGAGTTGTGTATGTCTGGGGGAGGGAAGATGGACTAAGCTTTCATCTGTGATAACTGCTGTTGTTCTGTCTTCTAGCAACTGTGATACTTACAGTGCATAAACTGAACTCTAACATCTAATCTTCTAACTGAGAAAACGGAAGTCACAACTTCAGGCTCATTTGTGATAAAATACAATACCTCCTCTTTTTCTCCTCTCCTTCCCCTCCCAAGGGGACACACCACTGTGTGCCAGTGATGAGTAAACGGAACAAGCTTTTAAGGTAGCTGAGGAGAGAATACTTAACAGGTTTGTACGTAGGGAGTTTTAGTTTGTGGCAAAGGAATATTGATGCCATGAAGAACAATACTGAAACAAGAAATAAGGAAGACTTGCACTTCAGGCTAGAATGGGGTGAGGAAATAACAGAACTGAAAGTAGTGGCAATAGCTGCTGCAAGCATGAACTGTCAGGCAGGTGAGGGGTCTGAAGTCAGTTGGAAGACTGCCTCTACCTGCCCCTTGCAGTTCATGTAAAATACATTGAAATTCACAGCATCCATTTAAAAGACTTCCTGTGTAACTCGCCATGTGAAACTTCATAAATGACTGAAATACTCTTGTCTACTACTGAAGGTGACTGCAACAATGACTCTTCTGTTCTTTGCATCCAGGTGCTGCTTGCAAAATCATCTCGATCATCTTTGTGGTCATGGCAGTATGTTTGTATAAGCCTCCACCATCAAGTGCAGCCCTGTCAAAAAAGGATTCAGAAGCAGTATCTGCTATACACACATAGATCACGAGCACATTGCAGGCTTTTGAAAGACGCCAATGAGAATAAGCACTATTACAACACTTGTACCAAAGTTCTTGTACACCATTGCCTAAATATAAAAGATCTTATTCAGTTCTTGAACAACAAAATATTTGTGAATGTGTGTAGTGTTCTCTAACTTGCTAAACATACTTTTTAGTATTCCATTGTGTGTATCCAAAAACATGACAAATTTGCAGTTTAACTTTAAATGTGTAATATATAACTTAAGTGAAACAAGGTGGAATACTCCAACCAAAAAAAAAAAAAAGGAAAAAATGAGCTGACCTGGGCTGACTGTGAAGCCTCATTTCCCATTGCTTATAAAGGAATACCTAAGTGAGACTGTAGTGGGAGAAAACAAGTAACTTGGTGTCCTATAGGCAACTGTGGATGTTTAAAATGGACATATTTTAATGTGCACATAATCTGGGCTTGTGCCTTTGGGGATTTTGACTGTAGATACACTTGGGAATGTGCAAGTATGGACATGTTTTTAAGATAACATGTAAAAATATTTTTATGTCATAAGTTCACTTTTTAATATCTGTAGAAAAATGTAAATGGCTATTACAGGATAGCTGGGTTCGTAGCAGCAAAATATTTGTTAATTTAAGTGCCTGAGTTTGTCTGGAATATATACAGAAGGTTGCTCTCCAGCTGCTTTCTTTAAACACTGTTAACATATTTCTATAAAATTTGAAAATAAAACCTATTTTCTTACTACTTCTGTGTATGCTGTGTCACTTCTAAGTGACTGAGTTCTAGGCTTCTCAAGTCCAAGTAACACGATGCTGAAAGTTAGCAAAGAATATGTATGCAAGCATCAAAAGTAGGAAGATACAGCTTTTGTTGTTCCTTTTGACTTGTACACTGCATGCTATTAAAACTGTATTTGTATAGCACAATGGATGTGCTATACATATTATCCACTCAGATATTAAACTATATTGCTTGCTACTGAAATATCATTCAATATTGACTGAAAATTTTTAATGAGCAAGATATCCTCTGCACTTGCTGTACTTTGTTAATGTAAAACTTCCTTTCTGTTGCATTGGCTATGCATGTCACTGTTATGTAGCCATGCACACCCTTTTCATCTGGTTACATGGCCTGTACTCATTGACTCTACCAAGATTTTTAAACTGCTATAGCAAAGGATTATGGCATATGGCTCATGCTTAATCTAATTCTTTAAATGCAGCTGTTAAACTAGGTAGAGGTTAAGTATACAATTCAAGAAGATCATCTATATCTATTTAGAAAGAACTCTTCAGGAAATAAAGCAAAATAGACTATACTTCCTGAAAGCACAAGACTTCATGGCTTTTGAGGCAGAGGAGGAAAGGGACAGAATACAACTGAATTTATGCTTGCTCTATTTAGTAGAATGTCTCCTGATAATACAGTTTCTTGATAAATGGGCTCATAGCAAGACGGGTAACTTCCCTTGAAAACTAAATACTGTTCTTCCATAAAGTTTGGGAATATGGCCTAAAACTCTGAATTCAGTTTCCAGCTCCCACATGGCTTGTGTGGGCTATAGCAAATCACTTAATCATAGTGCAGACATGCAGTGTGGTAGCTAAACTGGTAAACTAGCTTTTCTTCTGTCTTAGGCTGTGACATCATAGTTTACAGTTTCTGCTGCTTAATGTTGATTGTGCAGATTGCAAAACTTGTGGGGCAGACCAACATGAGCTTCCTCTTCTGAGGAAGTTATCAGCACTTAGTTGCACTGGAGTGGTTATTTGGGTGGAGAAGGAAGGAAGTATTGCCATGGTGGAAAATTACAGTTAATGCTAAAGGCTGTTGCAATTATAATGTAGCTTATGGCTTGTTAAAGATTACCATGGCTACTCTAGCAGCACAATGACTAGAAGACAGACCAAATAATTAGAACTGGGTAAGTTTACCTGTTTACCTTATGTCATAACAATGTTAAATTAATAGATATACCACTATATAGTGGAGGGCAGTAGATGCTGTGTCAAAGCTTTTCACTAAGTAAAAGCAAACATCATGGACAAGCTGAACAAGTGTGTTGGGTATTTAGACAGGGAGGGTGAATTAAAAACTGCCCAAATGACTGGGCCCAGAGGGTCAAAGCAGAAAGTCCAGTTTGAGTCAAGTCACTAGTGCTGTACCCCATAGATCAATACTGGGCCCAGTCCAGTTCAACCTCTTCATTAATGACCTGAATGATGATAGATTGCATACTGGAGGAGTGGCTGATAGACCAGATAGCTGTGCTGCCATCCAGAGGGACCTTGACAAGGTGGAGAAATGGGAAATGGGAACCTCATGAAGTTCAACAAGAGGAAGTGCAAAAACCTGCACCCCGGGACAAATAACCTCATGCACCAGTAACATGCAGGGGGCCACCCAGCTGTAAAGCAGCTCTTCAGAGAAGGCCCTTGGGTCTGACCACAAGACAGCAATACCCCTTTTCTGCAAAAATGGCCAATAGCATCCTGGACTGTATTAGGCAAAGCACTGCAAGCAGGTTGAGGGAGGTGATTCTTCCCCTGTCCTCAGTAGTGAGGACATACCTGCAGTGCTGTGTCTAGTTCTTAGCTCTTCAGAACAAGAGTGTTACAGACATGCTGAAGGGAGCGTGGTGCAGGGCTACAAAAATTATTGAGCTCCTGGGAAGCTCTCTTTACCCAGGAGAAAAGAAGGCTTGGGGGATCTGAGCCTCTAAGAGGGGGAAGCCAGGCTCTTATTAATGCCCAACTGTTGGGACAAGAGGCAGTGGTTACACACTGAAACACATGAAGTTCCTTCTGAACACAACTTTTTTTAAATTGTGAAGGTGGTCAGACATTGGAACAGGTTACCCAGGAAGCTGTGGAGTCACTGTTCTTGGAGATGTTTCAAACCTGACTGAACATGATCTGAGTAATTTTTTCTTGAGCAGGGCAGCTGGCTTGATGATGTCAAGTGCTCCCTTGCAGCTTAAATCATTCTGCGTTTCTGTGAGATGCTCCTCAGTATGGCTTTTCTCCCATTCACCATATGATGTATAACTTCTATATGGATTCTTGCAAGGGAAGACCTATCTGTTCTTGTGCAGTGTCCTTTGGTTTCTTTTTTGGGGGTTTTGTTGTTGGTTGGTTGGTTTGTTTTTAACATAAGCTTGTATCTCACATTGAATGATATTTAGCAGCTAACACTGTATGTATGTCTCACTAGGTGGTACTAGTTCTTTTCATGCTAAGAGTGATAAAATGTTTCAAACAGCAGTTGACAGTCTTGTATGATTTGTACATGCTCTGTGAACTACTGTAAATTCATGGACTCATATCTTTGAGCTTGTATTAACTACCACAGATTTGGCATTTAAGAAGAATCTCAAGTGTTGTCCAAAATAAAGATGATTTAAAACTTTTTGAAAGTTGCATCTTCTAACCAACATGATTATTTTTAGAAGCAAATCCTAGTGCAAATGCAGCTGTCCAACTAAACATTCTAGTTGAGCAAAAGTTTTAATTCATCTGTAAGCCAAATGTAAGCTTCTAAACCTAAGTCTATTGCCCTGCATGAGTAGCACAAATAAAGTCTCCAAAACTTTACTGGAGTCTCTGCTTGGTAAGTCTGTAGAATTCCAGGAGTCTTACAAAGGAGCAACAGTAATTAGCTGTTACAATTGTGACTAAACTTCTGATCTCTTTGTTATTGTGTGTTCTTTTATCTCAAAATCAAGACTGCATTTCTCTCTGTTCTGCAGAGGAAGGATAAGGTAATCTCAAGCTCTGTTTGGAGAATGAAAGCTGGAGCCACTGTTAAAATAAGTGAGTTCTTTGTACTTGAGCACTGCTCCAAAGTGATAGCTTAACACCAAAATTCACTGCAGTGGCAATAGAACATTATTCCTGGCTTCATATGAATACTGAGAAAGGGGAAAATCTGAATTTTATTTTGCATGTGGCTACCGTTCATATCATTACTTAAAAGTATAAGGTATTTTGTATACATACCTTGCTTGCAGAGTCTCTTTGCACATGATCAGAGGTATCTGAACAAAATGACCTGAAATGGGTTGGTTTTAAACAGAGTACATTCAAGTATGTCTACTGATATATTATGGACAGAAACATGGGAACCTTAGGAGTGCTGCAGCTTGGTAGCTGTTTTATGTATTTGAAGTTCAGTTGCTGACCGTTACTGAGGTGGTAACAGCGGGACTTGCACTGCTTCCTGGTCTAAAACGTGTTTAAAGGTAGATCAGGTGTAAACAAGTGTAAGAAAATTACTGAAAAAGCATCTTTCAGGTCTGAAAATCAAAAGGGTTATGGGTTGAGTAGTATTTCAGTTTGGGAATGAATGAGTGTGAAATGCTTCTGTAATCTTTTGTTGTAGTAGCCGAACATACAGTTGTGGTTTAACATATGACTGGGGTGGGTGTGGATGGGGTATTTTTGTTTGTTTGTTTTCTTCCCCAGCAGATGGCTCTCTTTGTGCTAACAAGATTTTTTTTTTTTGTTGGAATATTATGGGTCTTTAGAGTGCAGAGGAGAAAATTTGCAGCTTTTGCAAAAATATTCTGTTAATGGAAGTGTGACTGGTGTCTTTTGTCTGCTTGATTTCTGTTTTTGCAGTGGCAGTGACTTCCTTCCTGTGGTAAATGCATGAGCATGCCTGTTTATGATTTCTTTTCTTTTTATGATGTATCTGTGCAGTGCTCTATGCGACTCTGTTTTTGTATGGGTTCTTGTGTTTGTTTTTCCCCAAAGACAGAAATCCCCAGGCAACAAAAGTCAGTGTTAGGTTAGAGAAGCTTTGCAAAAATATGGAGGGAGCCAATTAATAATATATGTCACTGATACGATGCAAAAAAGCTGTAATAGATTATTTGTGTGCTGCTCCCATGGCAAATATACCTACAAGAGTGAGTCTGCTATACCGAGCAGTTTCATGAATTTGGGCTGCCTACTCCTATGTATACATTTCAAAATCTGTATAATGTGAGTGCCGGT